GGTAATTCGTGATAGGCTGATATGTAAGTGGAGGTGATGGGTAGGTGTGGCATTTTAGTGGTGATTTGGCTCCCTGTGCGACCATTATGGCACTCACATCTTTCTTCTTGGACGTGCCACCGGACTGTAAAGCCTTATTGGTGGCCTATAATGCTTCAAGATTAGTAACCATACCATCCTTAATGCCTTCTTCGATTATTTCTCCCAGTTTGATGATATCGGAGAACTTCTGACCCTCGATTAGCATCAACCTCTCGTAATATTGGGGATCTTGAGCCCGGACGAAGAACCTGTTCATCTGTTCTTCTTCTAAGGCCGGCCTGACCTTTGCAGCTTCTGACCTCCAACGAGTAGCATACTCGCGGAATGTTTCGGTAGATTTCTTCTTCAAATTCTGGATGTAGAATACATCCGGTGCATTCTCTGTATTGAATTGGAATCTATCCATGAAATCCGAGGCCATGCCTACCCAGCTTGTCCATTTCTTGGGGTCCTGGCTGATGTACCAGGATAAAGCATCCCCCTTCAGACTTCTCATGAAGAGCTTCATACGGATCTTCTTATCCTTTCCGACTCTGACCAGTTTATCGCAATATGTCTTCAGGTGGACCCTGGGATCTCCTGTTCTATCGAACATTTCAAACTTGGGAGGTTTGTACCCCTCCAGAAGTTCAACATCTGGCTGAATGCAGAGGTCTTCGTAATTTAACCCCTCAATACCTTTGTTACCTTCCACGCCCTGAACTCGGCTGGTCAATTTCTTGAGTTCTGCTGCTAAGTTCATGATAAGGGAGTCTTTGTCATCAGACTCAGGTGCACTTGAGATTGGTTGAGTATAATGGGGTACAGTATCCACGTAAATAGGAGTGTTGTGGAGATGGTCATTTGTGGTGTTCAGTGGCTCGGGAATGAGTAGTGGAGTATTGTTCGGAGTGTGGCATGCGTTGCAGTGTTGGGTATGAGTGGGTTGTATCTGTGCTTGTGGGGTGTTTTTTGGAGGTGCGGGATTTTGGGTGTTGACATCAGGAGCGGTGAGAGAAAATGACAGGTTCGCCAAGTTCCGAACCTGCTCCAGTTCTTCTTGGAACTTTAATAATTTTTGCTCAAGTTGGGTAGCAGTTTCCTTAGCAACCGGGGTACCCTGAGGAACCTCAATTTCTTTTCTGGTGCTCGGATCTCCCATTCTACCTTTGTTCTTGTTCCGGATAGGACTCGGAGGAGGAGGAGGTGGAGGGCCCTTGGATCTTGTTCAGAATAAACGAGTGAAAAGAGGGAGAAATTTTACATAATTGCTGGAAGTAGCAGTTAAAGAAGCTGAAATTTGAGAAAAAGCAGTTTTCGAAATAAACAAGTAAAAAGATGGATCACCCCACACAACACCCGGTAACCGTTTATACACATGATGTTAACGCGTGGTCATCATATCCACATCTACCCTTCCCACCCCATTAAGGTATTAAAGCGCGGAATGTCTCGTTACTTATTGCATGCTAGTAGCCGTCCTAATCCTATCAGTCCCGGAGGCATTTGGACTAACTAGTCCTAATGAGAGAGTGGTTTGGGGCCTTTTGGAGAGTTTTCAAAGGACAAAATACTAAGGCATCAATCAAAACACATAATACAAGTAAAGGGGAAAGCAAATAAGCAAGCAGGGCTCAAATAAACCTCCTAGAATCAGATAAAGCCATAGAGTTTAGCATGTCTTGCACATACTGGTTTGGTCTTAAATTAAATTAAAGCGATGAGCGGACTGGTTCAACACATATTTTTAGATAGGAAGTCTGCATTAGGCTTACTCGAATGCAGTTGTCTAAGACTGATCCAGTTGATTAGTTAACCTTTTTTGTCTATGTGTTGGATAGAACTACTGATTTTAAAACACAAGCTGATTTTAAAAGAAAATTTCAGAGTAACAAAAAGTTTCAGAAAAGGGTACGTGGTTTAACAACTAAACGAGTTCCAGAATGCAGATCGGTTGGGAAATGTTTACCAGATTTCATGCGAGTAGGTTTAGAAAGAAAAGTCGTTTGTTTTAGTAAAGTCAACACTGTTCTGAATAAGTGAGACAATTTTTTTGGTTTCGAAATCCTTATAGGCATGCTTTCTATACGTGATATCTTTTTAAATACTAATGGAAGCCTTGTAAACCAAGATATCTACATATGCCATTTTATTATTAAACCTATCTGTTTGCCTAATGATGCTATTATATGCAGAGATGCAAACCCCTATAGGCATGGTATCTACATGCGTAGTTGCAGAATTCAGAAGTTAAATCCTATAGACATGCTTTCTACGTATGAAATTGCACAAATTAGAGACAAAATCCTATAGGCATATTTTCTACCCTTTGTGCATAAAAGTAACCCCTCCCTTTTTCACTAAATTCCCATGAGTTTATACAAATCATTACAGACCAGTAGAACAAGACTGAAGTTAAAAGTACATCAGAAGCTATCAGCTACATCCGAGCAGCCTAATTCAGACTTAGTGTCTAATAATATGAGATTGAGCCACTTCCGAGATCAAGATTTCCAAAGCCTTCTCTTATCTAGGGTGTTTCAGAGATCCAAGGAGTTTCAGGAACCCAGGCAGTGCTTACACCCAAGATATTAATCAGAATGAGTTATAGTGCAGTGTGGAAGAGCCAACCCTCAGGTGTTCAAGTTCAGAGGGAGCTCAGGGGTCACAAGGCAAGGCTCATAAGAGAGGGGCAGAACTTAAATTCTAAGAATGAGTGCAGAAGAGCAAGGGGGGGGGGGGGGAGAATGCCAAGGCAGGTTGGTGGTCATACCTAACCATGAGGTAGGCTGGCACACCCCTGACCAAGCCTGTTCAGCCAGCAAATAAGAGCACAGACCTAGTGAAGGCCAGACTATGGTCTAGATAGTGATTAGGACACTGCCAGACCAAGGTCTTAAGCTCAAGATACATATAAAGGGGAAAGGGGAATGGGAATTGAAAGAGTTTAGGACTCAGGGAGTCCAGTCCATATACATGAACAACAATGTCAAGTGTTGTCATGTTTCTGAACCATAACTCAACATACAAAAGGGATTGGGGGATAGGGATTCATGTAGGAGTGTAGCAAAGAGACAAACCAACTTGCAAAATTTACATTATGGAAGTAGTAAATCCAATAAAGAATGAACTGGAGAATAAACACATAGGGGAGTGGCAGAAATTAAACAAAGGTAACATACAAGTTGCAGAAGAAGCAAGCAAAGAGAACCAGGATAGTTTCAAACCAAGCCACAATCAAAAGAACCTTAAGCTTATGAGTACAGAGAACTCGAATATTTTTTTAAAGAAAATCTGAGTGTATTTTGAGAGAAGAAGTGATGACTTGTTCATGTTCCCACTCCCTTGAAAGGGAAGAAGTACATGTATTTATAGTTTTGAAAACGAGTAGAAAATAAGGTAACAAATACAGTTTCAACACAAACATGGAAATAATCACAGTCAAAATCAATTAACACAGGTTTTCCCTTTAATCAAGGGATTACTGCTCAACGGGCACTTAACAGGATTAATATAAGAAAAGAAAATCAATTTGTAAGCAGAATGATTGTTGCCATAAAAGGAGCGGTAAAACCATATAGTAGGGGATTAAGTCTAAATACAGGAGTGTACTTATTTTGGAAAGGATCTGGTAAGGCCAAACAAAGAAGGAGAATCAATTAACCCTTAACGGGCGAGTAAAAAATCAGAACTGCACAAGGAAAAGTTTTGAAAATCAACCACGAATTTGAAAATCAATCACAGAAGGGACTCAGTATATAAATGAGGTGCACAAGTAATAGACATGTGAGGCCAAGCTATGGCAAGGAGAGGTAGCATACAGTAATAGCATGATAGTCATGTAGGTCAAATTTCGTTGGCTTCGTAAGAGAGAAAAGATCAGAAGCATGCAAAAGGTTAGGTGAAAACCTTTCTAAAAACATAATCGAGTTTGACAGATAGTAAGAAAGTAGAATCAAAAGAATCACACAAAGAGATGCTGAAACCTTCAAATAAAGTAGAACAATTTCAAATAGGAGAATCGCACAAGTAAACTTTAGGAACTTGAGTAAACCCCGAAGAAACTAGGGTTTTTCGAAATCAATCGAGCTTAGAGGCGATAAACAAGTAAAACAAACAAACAGTCTCAGAAGCTCGAATAAACCCCCAAAATTAGGATTTTCGACACTAATCAGGTGCAAACAAAGTAAATCAAATAGATAGACTCAGAAACACAAAAAAATCTCCAAATTTTTGAAAAGGTAATTTTTTTATTGTTTATTGTTTGTACCTGCTAAAGCAAGATGTTAGTACTATTCTTGGGATGGGAGGACTTCTCTTTTATGCATTAGTATCACCATTTTCATATCTTTTTAATGAATACAAGTGGTTTTACTTGGTACTACTGCTAGTACATAGAGCTAGAGATGGTGTTTTATTGGGGAGAGGAGTAGTAATGTACTAAGCATAGACATATCCACAGGAAAGAACCATCAAAAGTATCGTGGCTTTCTCTTCCTCCCTTAATTTGCTTCCCTAAATTATTATGTTCTCTCAGTTGGATGACTAGAATTGCTTTAAGAATGCAAGTCATTGTTGTTTCTGATGATCACAATTTCTTTCTTTGGTGAGCACCCTGATATAGCCTTTTCTTAGACTAGTTCACTTTCTGGCCAAAAGGTTCTATTTTTGAGTCACCATAAAAAATAGAAACGTAGCCTAGCTTCTGATCTTATTGTATGTTTTCATCTTATTGCATTTTTATGATGTTATGTTACCACCAATGCAACATTTTGGCAAGTGCACTTGGTGTGTGAATTGAAATTAAGTAAATATTGCGCAAATATTGTTTTACTGGCCTTTGTTGTGTTGTATATCAGTTATGGTAATAATTTCCATTATTATTCATTCTGTATGAAAAATTACCTGTGAGATCTTCTCCTTTGAGCTTGCACTCTATTGGTTTCCATCTAATATTTGATTACTTATTCAATGTGTAGGAAAATTCTTGTGGTGCAATTAAACGTGGTGGCCAAAGTCAGTTTGATCCATTTGAAGTTAAGGAAGAAGATTTTTGGACAAAACATTTGATTTTGTAAAGTTCATATTTAGTACGCAACTTGAAGCAATTTGCTTTATTGGTTGATTGTATTACATGAAGTGTATTCCTTTGTTTGAAGTTCATTGCATGTATTTGAAACAATCTCTTTTGTTTATTGATAATGAAGTGCTTCCGATTTTTATACTTAAGTAATGACCTTAAATATATGATAAAATATGTATTTGATAATAAATGCAATTATAGGGTGTATATCCAAAAAAATTAAAAGCATAGTAACAAAGACCACGCTTTAGAAGTGAAGCTTAGGAGCAACACTTGAAAAGCGTGGCCTACGAGGTAATAAAGGCGTCCCTTTAGAAGTGTAGCTTTAGGACATGAAAGGCGTCCCTTTAGAAGTGTAGCTTTAGGACATGAAAAGTGTGGCCATAGGCAAGCGTAGCCTTTGCCTTATGAAAAGTGTTGCATTAGGGTAAAGGTTACGCTTGTTTAGGCCACCCCGTAAAAAGTATTGCCTTAGGTCAAAAAGTGTGGTCTATGATCAAAAGCCACACTTTCTGATAGTTTAGACCACACTTTTCAGGCGTGGTTAAATGCCTAATTTGTTGTAGTGTGTATTTCGCCTACATTCAATAATTTCATTTATGACAATGAAGTTGCTTGGTCAATCATATAGTACCTCAAAATCATGACACTTTATCATTGTGTTGGATGATTATATATATTATACTTCACCTTGGTTAATAAAATTGTGAAGGCGTAAATTCATAATTTAAATTAACGAACCTTTAATACCGAGTTTATTATAATTTTAAGATATAAATTCCTATCTATCGTTTGTTTAAAATTTTTGCATAAAAAATAGAGTTCGGATGAATCCGATTGATTAAGAGTCAAATTTCATGAGTTAAAACAAAAATAAAAACAAAAAAAGTTGATAAGTGAAGAAACATCACATGCAAAGCTATACATTTCTGATTCAAAAGACTTTTATTTCCATTTCTAGGACCATTTAGTAGTTTGGTCGTTCTTGTATTTCTTTGTTCCACTCGTTTCTGGTGTCTTCCAACCTTTTTATTTTATTCTATCTTCTGTGACGTACGTAGCTAAATTTCCTATTGTTTATTAATCAGATGCGAATTTAGGATTTAAATTTATGGATTTAGCTTTTAAAAATTTTAATATTAAATTCATTATACTGTTAAAATTACGGGTTTAAACTTAATACTACTTGTTGAGATTTTAGTAAATTTTTATATATAAATTCATATTACGTATAGAAAATTATGGTTTCAATTGAACTCATAGCCGAAATGCTACATCCGTCCCTAATAGGAAGTGGCTTAAACCCAAATGATGATTTTTTTTTTTAAAAAGAAAAAATCAGCTGTAAATATAATTTTATCACATATGTATTGCCCTAACGAAAGTTAATAAGTCGATCAACATTTAAATTTCTGTTAGATATTCATGCTATTATAATTAATATACATAGTTACTGTTTATATATTCTATTTTGTAATCTAGGCAGAATCAATTAATGAATTAAGAGTAACAATACGATCCGTTGAAATTCAATCATTTGTCTCTCCGGTTCGTAAATAAAAAAAAAAGAAGAGAAAAATCGACAGTGACATGACTGCCACTGCCCAGTCCGCGACACTAAATAATTCCAAGTTCTTTGTATACAAGATGACAAGATTTCTGCTAATTGGAGGAAGTGGCGGTTTGAGTGGCGCTCTACAATCTGTGGCACATAAGAAGAACTCCAATCCATTCTCGTCCATGTCTTTTCTGATCACGGCTTTTGATTTTATTAAACTAAGTTCATACATAAGCAGATGTTATTGTAAAAGATGTTGCATGAGTCATTCTCGGTCGTCTTGACAAGCAGGAGCGGAACCATGGTGTTAGTTGTGGGTTCGGCGAAATCCATTAGTTTTTATTCAGATCCTGTATTTTTATTAAGAAATTTAATAAAATATGTACAAATTATTAATTTAGCAAAAAAAAAAAAAAAAGAGAATGAGAAGCAAAAAAGTGGGAAAAAAATTATTTTTGTAATTTTCTGTTACAATAAAAAAATAAATAACTCTCTTCGTTTTTCTGTTCTTCTTTTCCGGCAAAGACCATGAACGCCGATGACCTTCTCTGGGAAACTATTTTTCCTTTCTTTTATTTTCCTTCTAGTCTTCTTCCTCTCACTCTCAACACCACCTCTATGCCGTAACCACCACCTTCACCTACCCCCGCCTTCTTTTTATTCTTCACCCTTTTGATCTTCACCTCGGCACCATAACCTTAGCACCATCATCACTACCCAAACCCAGATTTTATCTCTCCAGCTTCCCACCAGGATATACAAGTCACCGGAAAAATAACATCAAAATTGGAACTCACAATCAATAACAATAAATTTCATGCGCGGTAAAAGTGGAGTTCCTAAAATTTCAATAGGAACAAGCAATAGACCCACATACACAAACTCTATGAAACTAGGATTGGATCAAAGAGTAATTTTTATGAACGATTGAATATTTTAAATGTGAAGAAAGAATGGAAAAGAAAGAAAAAAGTGTAATCGGATAAAAAGAAGGAAAAAAAGAAAAAGAAAGAGCAAAAATTACAAAATAGACACGTGGCAGTGCGTGTATTTTTGCAATGACCCGACTGGTCGTTTTGAGTATCTGCACTTCGCTCGGTGATTTAGAGCCAAACTCTTTGTTTCGAAGCCTTTAGAGCCTCATTCTAGCCTTCCTTTATTTGCGTGCGCAGTCCGGATATTGATCCGGGAAGCTTATATGCAAAAAAATAAAACTGATAAAAATAAGAATTTTTTCCTAAAAAGTTAATTTTAGTTGATTTCAGTCAACGTTTTGAGTAAATAGACCCGGACCCATATTTTGACGAACCCGGTGGGTCCGTATTGAAATATGGGATCTGGGCGTGTGCACGGAATCGAATTCCGAGGTCCCTAGCTTGAGTTATGAATTTTTATTGAAAATTAAAAGTCTGAAAAATCTAATGTTTTTAAGAATTGATTGAATGTTTGGCATTGTTGATACCGGATCCGTATTTTGGTTCCGGAGCCCGATAAAGGTCAAATATAATAATTTTGACTTATCTGTGAAATTTGGTGAGAAACGGAGTCGGTTTGATGTGATTCGGACGTCCGGTGGTAAAAATAGAGATTTCAAAGCTTTCTTAAAAATTTCATTTGATTTGGTGTCCAATTCGTAGTCCTAGGTGTTATTTTGGCGATTTGATCGCGCGAGCTAGTTCGTATGATGTTTTTAGACTGGTGTGCACTTTTGGTTTGGAGTTCCGAGGGGCTTGGGTGTATTTTTGGATCATTGGTTGAGAGACTAGCAAAATTAAGAAACTTGGGAGTTTGACCATGGTGAATATCGGGTTAAGACGACCTCTTTCAGTGTTTTGAGTGCGCGAGCAAGTCCGTAGCGTATTTTATGATTGAAATTCATATATGTTTGTGTTTGGGAGGTTCCGGATAAGTTTTGAGGTGGTTTCGGATCATTTCGGAGAAGTTTGGATTTTGCTGGTTTCTGGTGCGACACTGTTCATTCACAATTGCGTAAATACTGTTCATCCACAATTGCCAACCATTTATGGCAATTGCGAAAACACTGTTCATTGGAAAATGCGAAGTTTTGTTCGCAAATGCGACATATGCAGCCTGTTAAGTGCTGAGAATTCCGAGTTTTTGCTTCATTTTTCATATTTTTGAACCCTAGCTTCGAGGTGAGGCGATTTTGAGAGGGGATTTTCATACCAAAATATTGGGTAAGTATCTTTAACCAATTTCCAACTATATTTCATGATTTTATACAAGATTTAACATCAAATTCATGGGAACACTATGGAAAATTTTGAGAATTTTGTCAAAGTTTTGAAAAATAAAAATTTGAGATTTGGGAGTCGAATAAGACTCGGATTTGAAAACAAAACACATATTTGGACTCGTGGGGCTATAGGTAGTCAAGACCTACCTTTGGACTCGGGTTTTGACCGGGCGAGCCCGGGGTTTGACTTTTGTTGACTTTTTAGAAATTGAAGAAAAATCATAGCTTTATTAATTGAAATTATTTTTATCTTGCATCGTGTGGTGTATTCAAGTCGTCATTGGCTAGATTGAGTCGAGCGGAGGCAAATTTGTAGAGGAAAAGGCAAAGTTGAGTGTTGAGTTAGCCGGATCGAGGTAAGTGTTTTGCCTAGCTTTGTTGAGGGAATTTTTCCTTCTATTTGTCATTGTCTGCTACATGCGAGGGTGATATATATATGAGGTGACGAGCGTATATGTATGTGCCAGGGTTAATCATGCTCGGGGGTGGATTATGTTATATTTGTAGAATTCTGTGACATTCTGCTTAATGCCTTGTTTGACTCTTAGATACTAAGGACATAATATTAAATAATAGATATCAAGACTTAGTTTGTTATAACTCGATCAAACTTGATGGAAATTGTAAGAATACATTGATGTGTGTAATTCGGTCATCTCTATGCGAAATCATTACTACATTACTACAACCGAATTTCTTGAGATGCTAGGCTCTTTACTTGTTGTGGATCATTTATGAGATTCATGGAAGTATTTGAATAATACGGTTCTTGAGGGTTATTGAACCATTGTTGACTTGGAAAGTTGTGATTTGGAATTTGTTTGGAATATCCGCTTAAGCACTCTCCTTGATATTATTAGTGCTTCCTGCCTTATTTGTCATTGATACTCATATGCTTGGTAAGAAAGAGTGTAAAGCACGAAGGGTGATGTCGTGCCATTGTTTATACATTATCATGTGAGGGAGAGTGTAAAGCACGAAGGGTGATGCCGTGCCATATTATTGAGAATAAAAGCACGAAGGGTGATGCCGTGCCACATTATTGAGAGTAAAAGCACGAATGGTGATGCCGTGCCATATCATTTGAGAGTAAAAGCACGAAGGGTGATGCCGTGCCATTTCATTTGAGAGTAAAAGCACGAAGGTTGATGCCGTGCCATTTCATTTGTATTGTTATGTTTGTATGTTATGGTGAGGTCATGGCACGAAGGGTGTTTCCGTGCAAGTGAGGACAAGGGAAATGCATTTTGATGTGATATCTGTTTTCTATGTATACGGTTGTGCCCTTACCTTGAGCTGTTATTGTTGTATTTACATA